AAACTTTCATGTGATTCACTTACACGTGACACCTGTCGGTCTCTTGACATATTTGATAATTACCTAATCATATGTTTATGATTTTACTGATTACACTTTTCGTGAACTACTGATGGACGGTAATAAATTATTCTTGTTATCCACGATTATTCGTTAAACGGAAACTAAAAGTCATTATGTGAAATAATGCAATAATATGTTAGTGTCAACCCGAACATAATTTGTCTTTCGAAGTTATTTTGGAACAAATGTATTCGATTGAACTCCTAAATATGTTTTGAAAGCAAAACATGCAAAACCTCAATTTATATTTCAATACATCAGCATATTACTAGACAAAAATATAAACAATTGAAAGTGACGTTTGAGCAAGTGTCTAGAATAATAATAATAGGTACATAATTAATTATCAATACCTACATGTCTGTGTACGTGGTTTTGTCGCATATGCATAATTTTGTTTATTATCAATTGTTTAAATATGCTAATGCTAATGACACGTCGGAAGTGATTTTTGAGCAAAAATACAACGCAGTTTGTTGAAATTATGCGATGCGTGCTAATTTAATGAAACAGTGAAATATAACGGATGAGTGTGCGGATTTTACGGTGGTCGTTATAACATTTCATTTCTTTGTGTTTTCCGTCGTTGAGACGGAACGCAGTGACGAATTGTGAGGAGTCGAGATAGTCAACGACCGCGAATAAACTTCGCATGAATAAATTCGCGAAATTGTTAACGTTTTTGATGAAAACCACCACGGACATTCAGTAAAACAAATGAATAATTTTTCTTTAAAAGTTATAAGACGTTAGTTATATTATCGTATAAAATAAAAAAATCGAAAATCCCTACTAATATTATAAATGCGAAAGTCCTGATGTTTGTTACACTTTCATGCAAAAACTACTTAACCGATCATCATGAAAATTTGTACACATATTCTTAGTGGTCCCCGAATGGTTATAGGCTACTTTTTATTTAATAAAATTTTTTTTTAAATAAAATAAAGAAATTGTTGAGCCAATAATACCTCTGCATCTGGTTATTTGACAACTTTAACGCCATCTAGCATTCCAGCAATGAAGCTCAAACCTAAGTACTATAGTACCATCACAGTGTATTATCACACTGTATTACCGACAGCTACGTCAACATCAAATCCAATTGACTACACTATGGAGACTGTACACTATACTTCCATAGACTATACTTTCAGCCATTTTAAACTTCCCGCCATTCTACTTCATTGTTACTTCTTCTCTGACCACAGACGCGTACGGAAGCAACTTCATTATTTTTAAATATTCGCGAGTGAAGCCGCGGATTAAAGCTAGTCTCCAATAAAAATCATAAAAAATGGTTTAATTTACAAAATTTTACATTCAACTTAATCAGTGTAATTTTGTTTCTTTGGCAATATCCTTTATAACAGGATAATTGTAAAGAAAATCAAGATAAAACATAATATTTATGTTATAAGCACGTGGATAATATACGCGTGGCTGAATATTGAAATATTTAAACATTGCCCATAGACAAACGGATATTACGCACGACGCACTTAACTCAACGCATGGTTATGTTTAATAATCGTCTTCAATCGCTTTGAAATAACGTCCATTTCCTGTTTGCTCAATTAAACTGTTACGACAACAACACAAAATTTATATCAAAACGAATTCAGTTGAGAATTTTTTTTAAATTTTATTTCTTACAATCTTTTCTTATATTTTTCATATAAAAACCTGGAATTTAATTCGGTGTTAACAAAGAGCAGATTGAACTGTGAATGATTCATGATATTCTCCCATTGTGTTGTTCGGTTGTAATTTAATTCCGTGGGCGTTATAAAATTCGCGACACACTCGCCGTAATTGTAACGAATGATGGAGGTCATGAAACAAGGCCGTGCGCAGACTCTTGCGCTGCTGTATTCGCAAATCCTGTGCGGGTTGTACAGTTTACACTAGGCTCCCACGTGAAATAACGAAAACAAAATGCGGCTCCGAGTGGCAACATTGTGTGTGTAACATAGGATATATTGTATTTTTCTCGAGTGCAACCTTTTAACCGCTTTCAAAACCATAATGGAAGTGTACACGTGCAGGCGGGGCATGGAACACATTGCGTATAAATTGGCCAGCATTTCGTGAAGCTTAGAATATTCTATTGTTTCGGCGACCTGTGCGATACAGTGGACACGGTGTGAATTTTAATGTGAAAAATCGAGGAGTGCCAAAAATATATTCGACTCTATTGAAATAGGTGCTGTGTTTTTGTTTCATGGGCTGGAGGTGACGAATTCTAGCGGTGAGACAAACAGGATGAGAACAAATTAAAATAAATTGCTAAATGGACGTGGACTCGGTGAGAATGATGACATAGATCTATATTATAGTTAAATTGTTGGAAATATTTTGGGCAAACGTATGAATTTAGCTCAATTGGTTCAATTATTTTAGTTTCATAACAATAATATTTTGTAATAAAATCAAGAGGAAGAGAAGTATTGAAAATTAGTCAAATTGGTTTATTTTTGATTTGCCAGAAAGAGATTTATTAATTTATATTTTTATTTGAATGCCAATGAACTAGATTTTGGCGGTTTCAATAATAAATTTCGCATTTTATTTTCAAACATATTTTTAGTTTCCTAAATTATATGTAATGGGGCCATTTCCTACAACATTTCAATATTTTCGCGATTGCATATTAATTATAAAAATAATTTTTTAAACTTTTGCTTTGTTTTTCGTGTAAGCGCCACCCTGTGACTAAAACTCATTTTTAAAGTACTTTAGTCACGGTTTTGGCTGTCCGTGTTTAGAGTACCACTTTTTTGTGTCTCAAAACCATAGAAAAAATGCCGTTTTCAAGGTGGAAGTAGAAAAAATATTTTTCTATATCTCGTTTTTATTTTCTTTGTTGCTCAACACAATTGGCACATTTTTCCTCAGAAAAAAAAATATTTATAAATAATATGCAGTCAAATCACTTTCAGTGAGAACCAATTAGAACATTTCCGAGAATCAGTTACTCACGCTTTCATTCTCCATGGTCGCAATATTCGCACAATTTAAAACGTAATGAAATGCAGCTATTTCTGCTTTCCGTCGGTTTCATCCCGCTGCTTTATTTCACAGCCATCTCCAAGGATTCCACCTCTTATAACTGCAACACAAACATTCTACATACCACATAACCGAAAATTTTCAGTTTTATTCTATATTTACAAACGTATTTACACATATATTTATCATAAATATGAAACGAAAGTGCAGTCACTGATCCTATAATCTTATACCTAATTTAAAAATAGCGTACGAGTATGAGATGTGAACGCGACATGCAACTAGTGCATTAGTGTCATTAATAAATCAGCGCAGTTTGTAGATGTATTATGTAAACATTGACGTTGTGGGCATAAGTCGGGTTCACATGCGTCCATAATGAGTTGGTTTATCATATTCGCTAAGTGGTTCAAATGTTTGTCGTACGCATACTCGTAATGCATTTAAACTTTGCTAATAATAGTGCGGTGAATGTGTTTACTTCGATGTCTTGACTTCGTTTTTCGACGTTTTGGAAACATCGCATATTGTCGGGCGGTGTTTGAGTTTTAAAAGTGGGTCACTAGTAAATACAAATGCAGGATATTTTAGAATCCTAGGAATTACAATTCGCGTTGGTACTGTGTGTGATCTCAATTGACTGGACTGGAAATTTATACAGGGTGTGCTAAAAAATAGAACTTTAAACCAATAAAAATTATAAACTGTGTGAATATTATTTTTGTTAACTTAAAAAAAATTAATTTAAGCTGAAAAGTGGGTTTTAATTAGTTTAATGGCTTCATTAATTAATGATGAATAAAATGTAATTTAATTTTGTTCATTTAAATACGTAAACAATTAAATTTTCAACGTCAAGGTCGCGCGTTTTTGATATATCGTCAATTATTACTGGTGTCGTATTTTAATTGTTTATTTTGATACTTACTTATTTGCATGAAACTAATTTCGACCTGCAAATGTAATTAATCAAAAATTAACACATACAAAAGCCCTGCACTACCCAATTGTAAAATCCCTACTAATATTATAAATGCGAAAGTCCAGATGTTTGTTACACTTTCACGCAAAAACTACTTAACCGATCATTATGAAAATTTGTACACATATTCTTAGTGGTCCCCGAATGGTAATAGGCTACTTTTTATTTAATAAAAAAACTTATTTTTTAAATAAAATGAAGAAATTGTTTAGCCAATAATACCTCTGCATCTGGCTATTTGACTACTTTAACGCCATCTAGCATTCCAGCAATGAAGCTCAAACCTAAGTACTATACTACCATCACACTGTATTATCACACTGTATTACCGACAGCTACGTCAACATCAGATCCAATTGACTACACTACAATTCGCGTTATAAACCAAAGATCAAACACTGTAATTTAATTCTCGACGCCCGGCGGGCAGATGCGGCACGTCTGCAAAACGTTACCTACTAAAATAATTAGCTCTGTTAGCCTGACAGCTAATAATTATAAACATTCATCAGACGTACTACACTCTTACGTTATTATACTCTTTATTCTGTATTTGGTTCCACTCTACATAAACATTTATAAACCGTCTGCTCTGCATTTCACGTTAAAATTCAGGATCAATTAAAATGCTATAAAATTATTAACAGTAAAGTCCACCAATTAAAGTTGTTTTTTTTAATTATATGACTGAATGTACAAAAATAGAATCAGAATTTATAATAAAATAATAAAACAATTGCTGTATGTGTTTTTTTTCTTCATTTTTTTCATTTATCTTCATCTTCAAACTACAACATTTACAGGTACTAATTTTGTTACGTACTGTGTGTATGCATAAATAAATAAATAAATAAATTTTCAATAAATAAATAAATAAGTTAGTCACGCACATTCACTGATTGCGCGAATCTAATTTTCATCGCTGCTAAATAAATTCAACGCATTCAAGTCGCACCAATTAATTTAATTCGATAATTAAAACCAAAACCGACCGAAACCACATCGTACTGATAATTCCAAACGTAAAAATTATTAGATTAGAATCCTTTACTTACGCACTAATTCTATGCATAGAAGTCTTATATTTACAGTTTTCTTTCTTGTTCTGTCTGATAGGCAACCCATTTGGCTGCGAATAGTGCACTTATCTAGTAGTTAGTTACTGTTGAAACTGTTTTGTTGTCGTTTAAGCGTTTGTTTGTATCTATAAACGTGATTTTTGCTTAGTATTAGGTAACCTAACTAACTATGTTATAAATTCTTCCAAAAAATTGAAGAACTTGCGGATACGATGCATGATCAAAGCGTTTTTCGTTTACTTTTCAAGTGACACACAAGTTGCAATTTATAACCTCAATGATTGCGCAGTCTTTCTGTCAAAAACTGAACAATCACGCGAGTGAATATGGCGTTCGATCATGCACGTAGCCGAGATTACTATGTTATACGCTTGTTTGATTGTTATTTAGTTCTATGAATAGAAGCAGTTGCTCTTCGTCAGTTTCTTATCCTTGGAGTGATGCGGATGATTGAAGCCAGCGGTTTTGTCGTTGGCAAACGGCCGCAGCCGCACGCAGAGGAAAGCAGACATCAAACACGAAACGACAAGTATGGCGAGAAGGACGACCAAAGTCGCCGCGAAACCCGGTGTTGTCATGCAGATAAGCCCACCCTGTGTGAGTTCTTCTTTCGCAGGGAATACCATTGTAGGTGGCGTTGGTGTCGTGCTATTTTCATCCAAACTGAAAGTTAGGTCACCAGTTGACACAACGCGGATAATACGATTAACGCCAACTTCTTTTTCAGGATCCGTGGGGTCTACTGCTCTTCGTACTCTGCGTTCATCACGTGGAACACCTCCGTGTAAAAAGGCATCATGTGGTAAGGCAGGTGGGGGACCATATTGCGTATCCGGTGATTGATGAGAAGAAACATCCAAGAGACCACTGTGTAAACCAATCTGCGCGGTATTATCACTGCATTGATCGGGACATTGATATCTGCAGATCTGAATTGTACATTGGAAGTGTACCTCCATGGAATCAGGGAATTTAAACGCCTGGAAGTGGGCGTAACTCAGCACTGAAGCGGAAGCTCCAAAGTTTTTAATCTTAGTAAACCTAGACATTAATTTCGGCCGAGTTACACAACCTTTCTGGTCAACCAATTGAATTGGTGCCCGTTTACCATCATGGGCCATACAGTTACGGACCAACATGTCAAATTTAGAGTCGTCGTCCTTGATAGCCAAGACCATAGTCATAGTTTGACCAATTTTAACAAGACCAGATACTTCTGATGCCCATGGTCCTTTCCCGACTTGAATCTGCATCCAGCAACCCACATTATCACCAGCAAAGTCCGTCCGTAATGGAGACTGTACACTATACTTCCATAGACTACACTCTCAGCCATTTTAAACTTCCCGCCATTCTACTTCATTGTTACTTCTTCTGTGACTACAGACGCGTACGGAAGCAACTTCATTATTTTAGATATTCGCGAGCGAAGCCGCGGGTTAAAGCTAGTAATTCATATTTCCATTTTTGTATTTAATATCTAAATTTAATATCAAACCAAATAAATTATTTCACTTTGCAGGTCTTCGGGTAACTTTGGGAGCGCGGGGGCGCGTTCTGCTCCAAGTACCCCGCAAACAACAGCGATCGGACCGTCACTACTCGCTGGAATCGCCTCTGAATGCAATCCTGGCGCATCGCCACCCAGCAGTTTGCCGCGGAGTCCAAGTCACAGCATCTTTTCCAAATCCGATAAGTGAGTAATCATACAAATAATCAATTACAAATTCATACGTCACTTGAATCAAACATGTGGTACACGTAACATGTGATAAAAACCACCTGCTAGACGCACCTGAGAACTATTCAATTGATAATAATCTCTAGGCAGGTGTAGCCTAGAGTAAATTATTTATATTTTTATTCCTACGTTTTATATACTTGTGCAATCGCTAATTCTTTAAACGTCACAAAGTATGTGTTTATTAATAGCTTCTAATCATTTTTATCTGATCGATATTTTTGGATAGGCATTGTTTTAATGTATTTTTAAATTTTTATGACTTACCATGACATACCTATGAAGGCGTTTCACGACTGGTTTTACAACTTCCACCAATTATTTAATAGATTTACATAAAACCGGTCATTTTACGTGTGTTTGCATAAAACAAATGTTTTGCTTTTGCGTTAGGTCATTAGTATAATAATTATAAGTTGTATCATCGGTTGTTTTTTATTTTTATTTTGCTGCCATCATCGCGAGTAATGATCGAATCCTTTTGGAAAATTATACATCAACTTGGACTTTGTGTGGTTTAGTTTTTGCGTCGATTCAATGTCATCAATTATGGTCATAGTTGTATGTGATGCCATGGTGCACATTTATTACCAACTTGTACGTTGGTTCGTCAGGTGGTTCGATGATGTCGAAGCAGTTGTGCGGTTGCAATCGAAGCAAATCGATGGACGAAATTCATCGAAATCAACGGGTTGACGTCGGAAAACCGGAAAATTATAAAATTTGAATAACTGTGTGTGTGCGCTTCATGAAAAAGTGTTTTGGATTATGTATTATGAAGCAAACAGATGACAACAGGTAGTTTAAATAATTATAATATTTAGTAAAGAAAAACTTTTTTTAAATAATTTTACTTGACTGTAATCAGTCTTTACTTTATTTCCATTAAGAAAATGAGATATTTAACTCTAGTCTTGTCATATCACAAATGACGTAATCACAGAAATGTTTACACTATGCAAACTTCCTGTAAATTACTTGGAAGTTGATTTTTGACCGGAATTTCTATGAAATTTCTACGTTTTCGGTTGTAACAAAAATAGTAACATAAATATCTGTTATTCCAAAGACTGCACCATGCAAAACATTTTAACTTAATATTTATCTACATATACAGTGCGCATATAATATTAATAAGTAAATAACTGTATTATAATTTAAATATACCTGATAGTACTCAAAAGTTTCTATACAAGCGGTAGAATATTCTCATGTTTAGTTTTAACGTTATCATTCGGGTGATAACATCATCTCTATATAGTACAGAATAAATAAATGGCAGGTGTGCGTCGCGTACGGCTTGTTTTCGGGGGAACTCTCGGATTCATTTTGGCATTCATTCAGTAGACTCGCGACCAAAGCAAAGCGCACGACACATAAAACGCCGCAAAATTACGTAAAATTAATTTACATTTACGACGCAGTATCGCCGACGAAACGAGTTTGATTTCATTCATTTGAGACACGTAAACCGGGAAATAATAAAAGTTGAAGTGCAATGGTTGGAAGAACAGCGTATACACGTTAATTTATTGTTACGGTGTTTGTTATGTTTTCGCCAGCGGATTCGATGTGTGATTTCCAGTACTCATTCCGGAACATTGAGCTGTGGAGAATTTAATTCATGGTTTGTGAATTGTTGTGAATTTGAAATAGCGGTTAGTGTATTTGAATCCATGAAAGTGGACGTGCGCGTTTCATTTCGAAGAATGATGAGAGTCATGAGTGGTAACAGCGGCAGCGGGAACAGTCGAAACCTTGACGCCGCAGTCTATAAAAAATCATCCACACAGGATGATGATGGTGATGCAGATGCGGATCAACAAGAAAGAAGCGAAAGTGAGGAGGGCAGTAACGCTGATTCCAGAGATAATTCTCCGCGTAGTTCACAGAGTGACTTTTGTATTGTTGAGTAAGCTTTGATCGAAAATATTTATTTTATTAATTTGCGGTGTATTTGATGAAGATATGGATATATTAAACTAACTTGTGATAACGTTTTGAAGGCGCTTGCAAAATGTGCATTCTGTTTGTTTTGCAATTTTGTTCGTTTTGCGCGAACTCAGCTTAATTGTGCGTTATTGTTGCCATAAAGAGACGTAATTGCCGCGGACGTTATTAATGGCATGTTGAATTCAAACAAATCTGTGCATGAAAAGTTGTTGTAAGAGCCGCCCGGCCTGTCGGCAAGCAAGTTAAGTAATAAATCATAAAGTAATGTTGCTGTAGACGCCTGAGAGCGAACGAAATGCTGTAATCGAAAATCTAGGTTTGCAATTATGAGCGTTATCTAATAATTACAAACAAGCATAAAAAAAACTAATTTCGGCAACATGAAAGCGTGAATCAATGAATGTAAATCAATCGTGATGATTTTTATTGCGTTCAGTTACATTTCATGTTTTTTTAGAAGTTTTACGTTGGGTTATTTTTAATTTTATTGCAAACTGTACGCACATCCTCTTTTGGATGTTCCTTCAATATTCCACAGCGAAATGTACAAAGTTGCGATAAGTTTTCGATTTATTCTCCAACTATTCAGCATAAAACACACATAACGTGATTTTTGATTGTTGCAGAGGAAATATAAAACAACTGTCGACCTCGGCGCCCATCATGACTGCCCAAGCTCAATCGCCTGAACCGCCGAGCCCGAAGGGCGTCAAGGAGATCAAGGCGGTGCCTTACAAGGCCAAACAGAAGAAGTTTCACCGCCATTTTCCGGCCGCCGTTACGGACGATGTCTTAAACTGTACGCTTGCAAAAAAATAAAAAAAAAACTTTCCTCAAAACATGTACTAATTAATATAATTCGCAGATTATTCCTGCGCCCTTATCGGCGACATTCTGCTCCAAGGACATCTCTATATTACCAAGAACTACTTCGCGTTTTATTCGAATGTTTTCGGATATGTAACAAAGGTAACTAGGCATTTTTATTTCGTTGTAATTTCAACCAAACCTAGGCTTTTACTCATTCGCCCGCAATATTTGCCCAGCTGTTGTAATTCTCGATAAGATAAGGTAACTAATTACCGTTGTGTGTGCGTAGTTGCTGATACCGATGCAATCAGTGGAGGCGATCTCCAAAGAGAAAACCGCACGCATCATCCCGAACGCCGTCGGCATTAAAACTTTCGAGGACAAGCACGTCTTCGGCAGTTTGATATCCAGAGATGCCACCTACAGATACATGAACGAGGTGTGGGAGACCGCCAAGAAGGAGATGTGCGACGAGAACGCCATCCCGTCGCCTCCGCCATCGGAAGGACTAATGGTAGGGCATAGATGTCCACGATTCACACAAGGAAATTAAATTTGGCTCTAAATTTGCAGGAGCATGTCTCCGACCTGAGCGAAAGCAGCGAGACGCGCGAGGAGAGCGGGAGAGAGTCGGCGTCGGACGTGACGTCCCGCTTCAGGAAATGCACGAACAAACCGACTGAAAATTACGCTCCAGTGGAAAGTATGTGCCATTGTAAATCAGCGGTGAAGAATTGTCGTTGATGTGCTATGTTGGTTGCAGGTAAAACGGTGGAAAAGGCAGTCGAGGAAAAACCGTCGTTGTTCAGGGAGACCTATCTGAAATTCGCCTCAGCGAGTCGACAGAACATGTTCTTGTACGTGACGACGTTCATTCTCATCATATTGTTCCTCTCTGCAGCTATATTACTCTATAGAATTGGCCAAGTTCAGAATAGGTATACTCAGGCACTACAGGTATGCAACTGCAAATGCTTCTTTTTTAATTTCTAGCAAAAGTAACATTTTTTTATTTGTTTTATTTGTTTTAGGATAATTTTGTATTGTCTGACAGCGACGATGTATACGGTGAGCTGCTGCAGTGGCAAACACACTTACATTCCAAGTCGGCCGGCGCCGTGCATAGTTTTCTTGATACGAATTTAGATCAAATTGCCAAAGTAAGTTTTTCTTGATAAATTTCTTATAAGAATGATTATTATATTTTCTATGAGTAGGTAAGACAGTCGTTAGAAGCACTGTCCACGTTATTAATACCGAACGGTCACGGTGGTGGCTCAACGACCGCCGCGAATCCGATCGACACCGACAACAGTTAACCAACACTACTGTTCATTGCAATCGAACGTCGCGCAATGAAACACGTCATCTGAGCGTCGATGCGACAAACTGAATGTACCTCTTATGTTGTAACGCCTAGGGTAGCGTCGTTAACAACTGCAGTGGCCAAAAATCAAGTAACTTTATGAATATGAAGTTCCAGGAAACGTTTTACATTTAATTGTCAAATACAAACGAGTAACTGGTTGTACTAGGCGCATGTCGTAGCTTGTGTGATAAGCTATCGATAAATGTAATTGATGTTTAACTATTACAACCTAGTGGATATACCTTTTAGCGTACTGAAAACTAATTTAAAAGGTAATAGGACACACATGTAAGAAATTGCAACAAGAAACCACGCCAGAGATTGTCAGAACAGACAGAAATGTTCTCTATATAAATATATTTTAATTTCATGTTTAATATTGGCACTAAAAAGACATGTTGAAACCAACCAACGCGCAGCATAACATGCAATTTTACGAAACTTAGCTTTTATTTGGTTTTTAGAAGTAAATCCAATGTTGAAGGATTGATTGCTGTAACTGAGTGAGATCTACTGTATAATATTGTGTTAGTTAATTTATTGTAACAGGTTAAGAAGAGAGTAAGTAACTCAATGTGGTAGCTAAGTTTAAAATCGAGTGTTGATTAGCTATGGGATAAAATACACTAAACGTGAACTTAACCAGTAGAATGAAGTAGTTGAGTACGATGACGGTGCATGGGGTTAGCAATTTACAAGACTGCCTGTTATGCGTATACAATGTGATAAATACGATGGGAGTGGCAAACACGTTGGTCATACACTTGCTGTTGATGTCAACGGATAGCGACAATGAAAAAAATAAGTTTGGGAAGCCTAAGGGGAAATCGTACTTACAAGCGACACGAGGTGTGTTTAGGAGGAACATATGCGCTCAACTCGTTTTAAATTCATTCAATTGTGAATTGTATTGCGAATGAAGTAGTTCATATTGAAAACAAATCGGTAATAATTTTTGGAATTTGGGCCGACCATTACAACTATCAAGCTCAATGAATGGCACACTGCACAATTGCCAGATTTTATTGTTATAAACATAAAAAAGAAGATGCATTTTGTTCACACCTCATACATGTTGTGGCAACTTTGTCTACCAATTAATTGGGTGCAATAGGCAACTTCAAATTCTAGTCACCGTTGATTTCAAGTTTTCACGAAACATTCTCGGCGTGCATATTCAACAACACACCGAATCCGAGTGATGACATGTTTATTGTTTCAAACGATTCTTTTCAAAGTTTAACTATAATCTTAGATTGCATTAACAAATATGAATGTTTAGGGTAATCCAGACATTTGCGCAGATGCAAGGGCGTAACTAAATACAAAATGTAACTTTACCATCATTATATATTATATAAATTCCATCGCTGTTTGAAAAAAAAAAGAGCAAACAGTTTGTTTCGTTCACACCCGTAGAACTGTATTGAGATAGGATTGATATCAAATCTGTGTTGGTAACAGCTGTAAACCAATGTGAACATTAAGAATATGTCAGCCAATAGTAAAATGGATCAGACTTTACTATTGATCTTTTCATTATAATTGATGTCCACTTTGTTGTTTCTTGTTGATTTAATACAATATCGTTCGTGTGGTACTACACTATTTTGTATAATGCTTTGGTATGATGATTAACACTAATATTTATTTGTTATTTTAATATCGCCAAACGGATGTTTTGTAAAGTACATTTGAAGGCCAATTCAATTTGATTGATTTGATTTGATTTAATATTTAAGTATGATAGTTATCTAGATGAACCTGTGATATGATTACTATATTTATGTATTTGTAAATTTGTTTTGTTGATCATTCTTTAATTCTACAATTGCTTTATTACTTTTTAATATAATTGTAAAATTATTCGGATGATTCTTATTAATATTATATAAATATATACATTAACCAATGAAAATTTTATTTTCATTACTCTTCTGATGATGGGAAAAGTAGGAAAACTGTAAAGGGCTTAAATAATAAATCCTTTATTAATCCAACTTGTAAAATCAAATAATTACAGTTGAAACAACACTTCTCCATTATTCAGAGAAATATTAGCATTTAAATCAATACGTAGACAATGCATCAACCATCTCTGATGTTTTTCAATATTTCTAGTATCACTCTCATTATTTTTATTATTTGTACAAAGAAAACTAATGAAATTTTGTTCGTAACGCACCAAATTCTTGTACAGTTTCGACTCGTGCATCACAAGTAGTCTACCATCACTTTCCATATTCATATTTTCATTTTCCCTGCCCAAGTTACAAACAAGTGATACAGATTGCATTGTATGCCTGTTAATGCCATAAATATTATTCAACAATGAAATTATTTCATAAAAAATAAACCTTCTGTGATACCAAATTGCTTCATGCCCTGGATAATACACATGCAACTGCTTACACACCTCAAACAGTTCATACAGTAACAAATTCAAGTAATGGTTAGTCATCACAAAAGATTTCACATCAATATTATTGTGCCCTTCATTGTCTAAAGGCATTATAGTATGATAATAATCAACAAATCTAAAATTATGTAATATCTGAGTCAATTTTTCTGAAGCAAACATTTTATGCTTAAATTGACGCACAGCGTATTGCCGGTAATGAAAACCGGAATGCTCGGAAACATGCTGAGATATAAACTCTTGTGAATAAATCAGTTCATCTATGATGATATTAGAATCATGAATGAGTGGGAATAATTTCTCCATACACCAGATTCTATGATTCCAACCATGGTAATTGTTTGCTGAGGCAGCAACAGCCTTTTTTATTATTAAAAACTCATTGGCAAGAACTTCAGAATAATTACATTGTTGCTGTTTATTAATTAGCCATACTCTGTATGTGTAGGCTTGTAGGGATTTTGGTTTATAGCTCAAAACTAACTTGGTAAAGTGCATTTCTTGTTCATAAGACAAATATGTAAATAATTCTCTCTTTATATTCCAAAAAGTATTTACCTCTGCTTGAATTAGTAGAGCTACATTAATATACTTGTTGAGATTTTCAACATCTTCAGTAGTAGGCCTTTTTATAATCATTTTACGTAACTTTAGGATTTGAACTTGAGAATATCTGAATACCTGCTTTACACACCATGATTCCAAGCCAAGGCAATGTTCAGACTCGACATAATGGACTGGTGAGACGTTACGGTCTAGCGAATTCGTTGTTGAAGTGATGATACTGAAATCATCACTGAAAACAATTTAATTATCATTAAAGCAAGTAGGACAAGCAAGATGATAACTTCTTACATTGTAATTGGGTTTTTAATAATTGAGTTGAGATGATTAATGACTCTTTCAGCCATGTCATTATTGGAATCCACATCTATTTCATCTTCCATGGTCGCTTGGTTATTTACCATGTAAACATGTGAGTTTGTTTTTGTAATCATCAGAAGAAGGTTAGGTGAAGGTGGAGTGTGTGTAATCAGGTGGACTTCGTCGTTGTTATGTCGTGGGCCGATAGACGGCGCTGCATGCTTGTTTTACAGTTTATTTTACTCTACAATTTATTTAAATTATGTTCAGTCTTATTTTGTGCGTTGGGGTGGTGCGACGTTCGGTGACCTTGTGCGTGAATTGCAATAGGCATAATACCTGCGATCTAAACTAAACTTGAATATGTTGCATGTGGCGTGAGGAGATTTCAACGACGACACACGGGAATGCGATAAGAAAGTGTAAATTGTATTCAAAACAAATATAATTCTCGTGTCGAATGCTCACGTTTGCCAATAAATATAGGAATAAACAATACAACTCTATATTATGATTTAGATTATTAAAATTAATGAAAGATTAACTATTAAAGTGGTGTTTTGTAATTTATTTTAATCGCAAAATGTATGCTGGAGAAGCAATAATCAACAGAAAATGAATTACATCATTAAATTACGACATATCAATGCATCATACAATCACACAAAAGTGCTTAAGTTACCATAAAATACCGTGCGCGTGTGCTTTGACCGCCCGTTATTAAAATATAAACCATAAAGATTAAAATAAAAGCGGCGCTCTGCAACCTACGATTACAGGCCAAGGATAGGGCTTTTATACAATAATAAAATTAATGATTTTTTGCATTTAACTCTTAAAATTAATTGTAAACAACTTAACTTTACAGTTACAGGTAATTTCAACTACATCTTAAACACTTTTTTAACGTAAAATCTACATTTGTAAGTGCATAATAATTTAAAATAAAACTAAACAATAAAAACATGACAAATCTTCAGAGGAATGTAGTAATGTGTGATATGATCATTGTTTTTAATGTTTATATGTAAAACGGACTAATATTAAATACAAAAATTAAATGATTTGCTACAGTTTAAGAGTTAAAACTTCATTATTTTCAACCAAACACAAGAAAAAGCAAGGAAGAAACTACGAAGAAACAAACACAAGTAGAAAAGCAGCTTGGCATGGTCAAGACAAAAGTCGTTGTTTCCGTCTATAACCAGGTATGTGGAACCAAGCCCCTCTATTGATAATATTAAGTCGAGCGGTTCATGTGCGTTTGGTATTACAGCATGTACGAGTAAGTACTTGCAAAGGAGGAGCCTTGCCGTCAGGTGAGAATACATAAAGGCGTTCCAACGATCCAACTTGAAACATGGCGGACGATATCCCCTTACAAACCTAAAGCAACTCCAATTAGGAACCAACTAGAAATTTGTTTATACAGTAGAATCCGTTTATTATGACTCCGCTTATATTGACCAACCGGTTATTATGACGTACCTACACTACCAAGTTTGGTTTTCATATAAAATTCTGTATAAAAAAAGTCGGATATAATGACTTCGCTTACAGTGACATGTCGCTTATTATGACCCATTTTTAACAGATTATGTCCGGTTATATTGACCAACATGATTCTTTACACCACCGGTAATGTTCGTTGATACCCGACGACGTTCGACACGTGGCGAACTTTTTTATATTTATTGCTACATTTCTTTTATGATTGTCAAATTACTTTTATGTATTTACTATCGGAAAGACCAAATGCTTAAATAATAAATATAAGCATTCGGGCAGCAGTACCTTGTCCACGACTTAATCCGTATTTTCAATTAATCCGAATTTGGCGTGGGTCATTCATTTAATCTCAATGCTTTTAAAAACAAGAACCGCATTAAGCAATCGTTCGATTCAAATGTTTTGAAACCGAAGAGGCTTCGAAAATCCTGAAAATTAATTAAATGAAAAAACAAAAGCAGACAAAAATTACAGATTACTTGAAGTAAAAAATACACTTGTATGTGTTATAATATGCTGATTACGTGCAATTTTGATTTTGATTTAATATGTATGTATATGTACATATTTACATAAAAAGAGGTTTCATTTCACAAACGCTTTGTATGACGTCTTATTATGACGTGTTTGTCGGCGAATTCCCTTCGATGTCATTATAGCCGGACTCTACTGTATAATATTCTCCTGTATTTATTCCGCTGAATCTGGTTATGGCAGTCCAGGACATCAAAGTGTCCAGATCACAATTGGCATCATGACCATTAAATTAACCAAATTACCCAGTTGAACAATTTGTCATTACCAAGTGCAAACACAGTGACGTTTGAGTTAATGTAACCAGCAGGCGTGTGCACCATCATAACAGGTTAAATGCCGGTAGCGGCCAGAAGCGGTGTGCGGCAACAAAAGTGACATAGATATTTCCAGGCATTATTTCATATTTAAAATTATTTTTTGTTATTAAATTGTTTTAATTAAATCAAACACATTTATTGTTCCGTTTTAAATATTCCATTATTTTTAATTTGTTTATTTTTGCCAATTTTTACCTAATTTTGCGAAATTTCATGACACAGCAGTGTTTGCCAGTTCCTTTGCATCCGCAAAACGTGACGTCAGACGTCCGGTGATGGTTTGTAGATGATACAACGTTGGCAAAGTGGGTAGGTTGTCATTTTCGCGTGCATTGCATTTTCAATAGACTGCATTTTGCGGGCAGGTAGGCCAACATGTTACGTTTTCGATAACGCTTTCAGTGCAATTTAAAGCGGCAGTTTTAAAATTTAACATTCACTGCGTTATGCATTTAAAATGCACCATTTAACAAACATTACCAGAACTGTGTGCGTGGCAATTTATATTTCATTTAAAATAGATTAACCGTAAGTCAGTGTTTCGATAACAACGTAATGCCCATTTGGCATGATAATTGCCACTGACATAAAATTAAATTTATGCATTTCCATTCAATTATTCCATTACACCAATTGTCCATTTTTTACCCCACCTTTGTCTGCAGAAACTGCAGCATTTGTCCATTGTCCAATTCCATTTAAAATAATTATTCAAAATTGTCCAATTGACAATTTTAAAATTAACAAAAGAACATTCCATATTCCATTATTCCATTCCAGTTACACACAACAAAGTGTTAAAAATTTTCCAGCATTCCAATTCCACAAAATTCAATTCCATTTTGCGGCGTGTCCATTCATTTCCATTATTTAAAATGTTAATTGAACATGACTGTTCCATGAACATATTTTTTTAATTAATTTATTAATTGCACGGCAATTTGTTTATTAATTTGTTTCCATTAAAATAATTGCATTTGCAAAGTCATTGTCACGGCAGCAGTGTTGCCCATTATTTTGCGGCGATGCTGACCAGGGTTTTAAAATAATTATACAATTTGCCTGGTTATGATGCTGATGGGCGCATCGTCCGTCGCCGGCGTCGGTGAAGATGACCCAGCCGGCTTTTGATTTGATATTATAATGTTTTTGCTTGCGCGTGCGGTAGCATTAAAGATGATTTCGGTGCCTTCATATCGCTGTTCCTTTTTTCGATCATGCAGTTTTGAAATGGATTAAATTTGACTTCCTCGTGCCTATTATTTCGTTTATAATGGATCGGATTTTCAACGATGTATTGACGGCATCCATGTTTGCATTCGTAGTCATTTAGAACTACTGGAAAGGAATCTGATAAAGGTGTAATTCTGTATGGAAAAGGACTGTAGTACGCAATGCACTGATCATGCTGGAAATGAACAGTGGCAATTAACCGGATAAGCATATTCACAGACAACTCTACAGTATACCGCAACATTCTCATCGGTATCTCCGCACGTACTAATATTTTTCAATGATATCATGTTCTAAAAGAATTAATTTATTATAATTTATGCGTATGTATCATTGTAATTGGATCAAGTAAAATGATCACTTAATTGAATTTGTGCACATTGTTTTACTAGTAAATTTAAGCAAATCGATCACTTTATACAAATGAGTTTTTGGAATGGACATTCGATATGCCACTCTCTTTTTTGATAGTATTCTGTTAGCGTTTGTTCAAATACATTTGATAAATAGCTACTTGGGGAATAATGTGTTCAAAGGTTGCCAAAAAAACAATGTTTCTTTTTAATGTGTATAATATCGCAAATAATACAATATTTTTTATATCATTACTAAATTTGTTTTCAAACATAATTTATTTGTTTATTTCTTGAATCATATACAGAAATGTAACTCTCACTAGAATTATTATATAACTCTTAAATATATATATATATATATATCTACCGCTACTCTTGTACGGGCTTTGAACCCGAGTCTCATCTACCGCTACCATCGTACGGTACCCTGAACACGAGTCACTTCTAACGCTAGCCTCGTACGGTATATATATATATATATATATATATATATATATATATATATATAATATATATATATATATATATATATATATATATGTATATATATATATATATATATACCGTACGAGGCTAGCGGTAGAAGTGACTAGTGTTCAGGGCACCGTATGAGGGCAGCGGTATAAGTGACTCTTATTCAGGGTACCGAACGACGGTAGTGGTAGAAGTGACTCGTGTTCAAAGCACCGTACAAGAGTAGCGGTAGAAGTGACTCTTTTCAGGGTACCGTACAAGGGTAGCAGTAGAAGTGACTCGGTTCAGAGCACCGTCCGAGGCTAGCGGTAGAAGTGACTTTTGTTCAGAGCACCGTACAAGGGTAGCGGTAAAAGTGACTCTCATATATAACTCTCTTATATAACTCTTAAATTTTTAGACTACAAAATTCACGCGAATTCAGTATTGCATTATTCGGTTGATATTTTCTTAGTCCTAGATTTATGTTTTGAGGGTTTTTTATAAAATAGGTTGCTGGGCGCAGTAACTTTTCTTTAGTCTCCTTTGATAGTCTTTGCAGAATTGCTAGTATGAGGAAAAGCTTATTGTGGTAATCAGGATGGCAACCACAATTAAGCCACAAATGAGCCCCATGTAAAATTGTGATAAAATGAATCCAGAACAATCACAACAATTTTCAGCAAACGTCTCGCAGATAATAATCTATTTTAATCATATTTATGCCATATCTAATATAGATTTCAGTAGTGCAGCTCTTACTAAATTACAAACATTAATACATTCAAACATATTTTAACAAACAGTGAGATTTTTAAATAGTTATAAAAATTAAGCCATTGATTTGTTTAACCAAGCTACACATCATTTCAACCAAAAAAATAGAAGTTGCAAGGAGCGTGCCAATAAGTAAAAACCAAAATGGCGCTTGTAAGATTTCCAGTGTTAGTTTCTTTGGTTGGATTGCTTCCGGGCTGTGGTCTAAAAACCTTAAAAGTTCATATATTGTAAACTGTTTCCGGTACATATGCCATTCCCAGAATATAGTTAATCCCGTTTCTCTGCATCTCAAGATAAAATCATTTAATTCGGGTAGTAAAGAAGCATACACACTGTTTCGTGCCATAATATGAGTAAAAGCCAATTGAGTTCCATCTTTTAGGAGTTGATAGTTTATAACATTGATTGTACGTAAATCTAATGAAACTAGAACGAACACATAAAAATATTAATTATACCAAACCTATCGCATATCCCGTACTTCCTGTTCCGGTTATAAACGTTTGCTCAGCTACTCGAGCACCATTCTTTACTTTTCGCTCAAGATCAATAGCGTATTTAGCAATTTTTCTGAACTCATTTATGTTCTAATTAAATAGAAAACGTCATTATTGAGCATACAAAATATACGAACTTACCTCAAGAACATTTCTCGTTTTATCAAATATTGCACTACCTAACGTGCTATAAAAACTTTTATCAAACCATGTTTCTCAATGTCATCTTCTGTTTTAATTCCAGGCTCATACTTAGGCATCACCATTTGAGTAACAACGCTCGATGAAAATAATGATGAATATATTACTAGTAACATTAATACAAGGGCAAGGATAAAACGGGGACGGAAATGACGTGGTGTTTCATAGTTAGTCAATGGTTGCAATAAAAACAAACGCAAAACGATCAAAACTGGTGTGTTGGCAATAGATTGCTTTAGACCTAGTTCTAACCAAAAGTATCCCAATGTAAATAGTGCTGAAAGTAGTATCAATGTCCATAGTGGAATTTCAAACACTTGTATGAGTTGCAACCAATGATTGGCTAATCTACGATTTTTTATATAAAATTACAAAGTTATTACTCGACACACTCTTATTGTAGTGCATACTATATTTTGCAACTTACCCTGGTTTTGGAACTACGAATACTTGTGAAAAAATAGTGGCTGGATATGTTTGTGGAAATTGAGCTTGATTTGAGGTCCTGTCGGCTAATAGAAATGCTCCTTTTTCATTTGCAATTGCAATAAAATCTTCATTTATGACTTCTGGGTGGAGCAAAACTTTTAAATATGTTGCAAAGTGTTCAATGATATATGAGTCTACTCCATGTAAATACCCTGAGTTTGTTATTATTTTGAGTGGATAATATGCGTGAATTTGAAGTTTAATAGCGGCATTAGGATACTTCGTCCACCTATCATCGAAGAACCCATCGATACCAACCGAACCAGGTTCATCCGTAAATCGAGTTTTTATAATCTCCCAGCGATTCAATACAACAAGTTTCTTTCGTGCGAGATCAGTATGACCAAAAATATAGAAATATTTGTCGTTTGACATAATGATAACTACATTGATGCCGAAGTTACCAGGATTGTTAAGATACGCCTGAAGGGACTTGGTATTCAGAATAATGATTGCTTTCATATCGCTGTTCCTTTGTTGGACCATGCAGGTTTTAAATGGGTTAAAATTGATTTGACCACGCTTATTATTTGGAATATACTTGAGCGGGTTTTCAACTATATATTGACGGCATCCGTGTTTGCATTGATAGTCATTTAGAACTACTGGAAATGAATCTGATAAAGGTGAAATGCTGCGTGGATTAGGGCTGTAATGCGCAATACACTGATCATGCTGGAAATTAACAGTAGCAATTACTTTTATGAGCAAATTTAGAGACAACTCTATACTATACGCCAACATTCTCTACTGCGTCTCCGCACGTATTAATATTTTCTATGATATTATCCTTAATTTATACGTTTGTATCATTATAATTATATCAAGCAAAATGATCGTTTAATTGAACTCAATCGCATTGTTTTATGAATAAATAAAAGCAAATTGATCACAATATTCAAATGAGTTTTTGGAATGGGAATTCAATAAGCCACTATCATTTTTGATAGAATTATGTTAGCGTTAGTTCAGATACATTTGAGTAATAGCCACCTGGGTAAAAAAATGTGTACGAATTATGACTAAACCGAAATTTTAAAATAATTGTCGAATAAATTGTTCGACATACAAACTTCTCACTGCATAATATTTCTACGGCGCAGAGATATTATTTGTTCAAACAAAATCGAATTAAAATGAAAAAAAAAACTGTTCACCTTTTTATTACTGCAATAATTTTAACAAATTATAACTGATAATCATCAGGATGGTACAACTCCGATAATAATCGATAGACATAAGAAGTTGCGTTGCCACCTCTATAACATAAAACAATTATTAAACAACATTAAAAATCACGCACTGTGAGCTTTACTTACTGATGGGTTATAAACAAAGTAACCAACTCAGGTGGCACATAGTCAAATACTGGATTATAAACATGTGCAACATCAAGCACTTTACCACTCGAATATGGCAGAACATATGAAGGTGATGCTATATTATTAAAGGCTTCCTGCTCATAGGAACACACATATTGTGGTGTTAGCTTGTATAAATGTGACAAAACCATTACCTATATAAATATAGACAAATTAAAGACAAGATATTAATAATTTTAATCTAGTTATTTATCTTACTGGTACTGAACATTCCTTAGCTGCCAGTGCAACAGATTGCACTCCACTTGAAGCCCTCAATCCACCATTAGCCATAATTGAATGCACGCCAATGATGACTTTATTCACCCTGGACATAATAGCAAATACAGCACTGTCAGGCACAACAGTAGTATGAATTTTACCATTTGCCAATTCAGTTGCCATCATTTGGCCCTGAAATTGCTTTCAATTTGAAAATTACTTCATAATTATGTAATAATAATATACCTGTTTATAATCTGGTGCATTTTCTACAACAATAACTTGAAAATTTCTTGTCTTGGCTGCATTCTTCAAAAATCTTGTTACCAAATTTGATTTGCCCACAGTTAAAATTATTTCATTAGAATGAATATGCTCAGAGGCTTGTTCAGCTATATTGGAAGCAGCTGTTTCAAGCTCCACCTTGTATTCTGACAAGTGGTCCTTTAAACTGCTCCTTAAAGAAACCAGCTCTTGATTAAAATTACCCATACTGTCAGTTGAATGGGCTGTAACTAGATGATGCAATGACTGCTGCAAATCATTAATTCTCTGTGCCTGCTTATGCTTCTCAGCATTGTAGGTTGTTGTGTAGATTTCCCTGATCAGTTTTAGAATGTGTCTTATTACATTTGTGGGGATTGTGGCAAAAGGTAGTGTTTCAGTGATGAGATTAAGTTGTTCCTTAATAATGTTTATAAGCTCTCTAAAAATAAATATTTAATATTAGAAGTATTCAATATTGTGAGACATACTGAGCTGTTTTCCATTCTTCATCTGTTATAATCTCCTCTACAATTTGCACTGTCCTCAGGGCAATATCATAAGATCGATGAAGTTTTCTAAAACAATCAGAAATGTTGTGAAATAATTTCAAGTTCTAGGAAATCAAACAGTATTACTCGTATCTAATTTCGCTTATTAAATTAGCAAACGTGTATTTCTCGCCGTTTGTAGGCATTGTAAGAAAAATATGTCTATGGCTTAAAAAGCTTTCAAGGGCCAGGGGACGGGAACGAGCAAGTTGAACAGGTTATAACATTTATAAAGTGAAAGTTATAAGGCTACGTTAACCCTTGATAATGAAGGAATACCACGGATCTGTATACTCATCGATAATTAGTCAAATTTATCGCTTCATGGTTTTATTTAAAACTCAAACAGTGATCAATGGATTATCTAAATAATTGATTGAATATTAATACAAGGCATTTGAATGTTTTTGCATGTTTTGTCTGATTTATATGTTTTTTGTTTGTTTTAAAACTTAAACAGCTCAAAGGGCTGTACTATAATGGTTAGAACACATATCAAAAGTAAGACAATTAAGTTTCCTTTCTTATAAATTTAATTTTTCATTGTATAAAAATTGTTGTTGAATTAAATTTTTTGCGGATGTCAATCTGGTTACGCCACAAAAAACATTACAGGTTCCGGTCAAATACTGTACGCAATTACAGTTTTCTAGAAAAATCAAGCCATTCCGACATCTGCCACTAGATGGCGCTAATAATTTTAAAATGGGGATATATTAAATGCACTTTAGTTAAAATACAATCCACTTGAACAGCCGCACTTAAGTTTTCATACTTTGCACTAAGAAATGCATATTATGCACTATAGATTGTATAACTTATATTTTAATACAATGCACTTATATATTCAGGTTTAAGCTTAAATTTGCTTTGAATCAACTTTTTAAATTGAAACTTTATAATTGGCATGTAATTAAACGAACTTTATTTTTTCGATTTTTAACTTGTCAATTCATGAAATGCACTTATAATTAATGTTTGCACTTAAAAATACAGAACTGAACTTAAAAATAAATATTTGCACTTTGAAAAAATAATTCCACTTGAATAAAATGCTTTCCACTATGAAATTAATACTTTGCACTTATAAAACTGGCAGTATTAAGTACGTGCCGTATTCTTAACCAAACATTCGCCAATAGAGCGCGCCACTATGCATTAGTCAACTGCAAAACTGCAAAATGTCAAACATCCTCCTATACGTGCTTGCATTCTTCCTCTGCAGTAGGAAATATATGAATGGCGGATAAGAATTGTTTACTTTAGCGTGGTAGCGAGCGTGTTTAGCGAGGTAGGCTACCTTGTTTGGTATTATTTGTGTGGCGGAGGGTGATAGAAGGGGCCGGCTAAGAGTACGGCACGTACTTAATACTGCAAGTTTTATAAGTGCAAAGTATTTATTTCATAGTGGAAAGCATTTTATTCAAGTGGAATTCATTTTTCAAAGTGCAAATATTTATTTTTAAGTTCAGTTCTGTATTTTTAAGTGCAAACATTATTTATAAGTGCATTTAATGAATTGACAAGTTAAAAATCGAAAAAATAAAGTTCGTTTAATTACATGCCTTTTAAAATGATATGTTACTTTTTTCATCGTCATTATGTGTGCCGATAGATGGCGATGTTTGCTTTTTCATGTTTATTTATTTTGCAATTTATTTTCAGTCAGTCTTAATTTGTGTGTCGTCGTTGTACGACGTTCGCCGGTTTTAAAGTTTGTTCCTCGTTTAGTGATGGCAGTCGCTGCTCACCAAGGTTATTTCTTAATTCGGTAATAGTATTATTCCAATATACCGAGTCACTTCCTATCGCTGGTTTATACGCATTTATCGTCACACGAAGTATTTTGAAGAGTTTCATTCGTTTAATGCAATAATTCGGCGATTGCATTTTGTGCTCATTTTTGCCATTTGTATTGAAACTTTTTAATTGGATTTTGCATGCGGAGTTCCACTAAACAAGTTTTCTAGTCGCATTCCCTGAGTTGGCTATCTTGCATGCGACCTTGTTGTGCGTGTTGTTTTGCGGCGTTCGCGCAGTATTATCGAATGTTGCAGCATGCCGGCGCTGATGTCGTGCGTGGGGTGCTCAGCGTAGTTTTGTGCCGGCGTTGTTTGTATTGGATTTGTAATTCGGTAAACCGCGTTCATTTCGATTGTCCATCATCTATATTTAGTTATTACTGACGTGTTTAGTGTTTTATTAGTAGGTAATCGGGTGTCAACCATACACAATCGTTAATTTTTTGCTATAAACTTGTTTACACTTAACGCTCGCGAGGTACAGGTAGTATGAACCTGCAACGTCTTGCAACGTTTGTTGTGATATTATTTAGTTAGTGTATGGAATTTTGCTGACTATATGTACGCAAGTAATCTTGCCCCGGGAACATGGACAATGTTCTCCATGAAAGCCTAGAAAGAACGGTAAAATGCAGACTTTCTTTTTTTCGTTTTCTGAAATTATTGTCCTTGTTTAATTCACTTATTCGTGCATTCATTGTTCTAAAAGTTTTATCGATACGCTTATGTCGCGTTGGAACAATATCTTATCTTGTTATTGTTGTGAACATGCTTTTCTGTTTGTGTCTAGTATATACTGTTTATATTCAATTCCATTTCATTTATACGCGCCAGTTAATTTAGCATCACATGTATTTTTATTACAATATTATATGTGTACACTTGTCCACTTCTATCATGATTAATATTTATTTAATTTTAGAATTTGGAGTGTAAAACATCCACTGATGCATATTGCGGTGGAAAATACACTCGAGAATCGCCTGCCCCGACATCAACCAAAAGAACACCTACCTGTCTGGTGGAGAGCAGCTACGTTTTGATGGGATGCGATATCTTTGTCCCTTATCTTGCAATCATTTCTTGCGCCCGGACAATATTTTCTAACTAATACAAATAATGCGCACAAGGAAGGAGACAAAAAATACTTCCCGTCTTATAAACCACGAACGCATTTATTTATTTCACTTATAATTAGAATGGTATATATTAAGGGCCCTTTGATAATTAATTTGATGAATGCTTGTGGAATAACATGCAGTGTAAACTCTTTATAACGATTCTTACTAAAATTAGTTGATATAGGACGGAATTTGCCACAAAATGTCTACATATTTCTAGGTCATTATAAAACAATGTTATCAAGAGTTTACATTGTATTGCACATTTAATCGCCTCACGACTTTTACTGTATCGCATTATTGCTTGTCGCGCTAATGGGGCGAGTTTGCGTTTCATTTGTTGGTAGTAATTCGGATAAGGGTATTTGGTAGTTGCCGCACTGTTGTCGTCTAGCTTTGACTCGCGAAGGGGGCGTCTCTAGAGTTGTCAAATTAAACTCTGTGGGGTTTTATTAGTTTGTTGCAAGAATTCGACTTGTAACCCGCGAAAATTTACATAAAGGGTAACTTTTTCACACTTTTCCGTGAAATATTTGTATATTTTCGGGTTTACACGAAATCTAAGCGGCTCAGTAACTTCACCGTGGCGTAGAAAGATGCAGAATTAAATTTTCCGTTGGGTTGTATTTTTTAGCGGTAGAAGTGACTCGATTCTGGGCACCTTACGAAGCTAGCGGTGGAAGTGACTCGTGTTCAGCGCACCGTATGAAAGTAGCGGTAGAAGTCACCCGATTCTGGGCATCTTACGAAGCTAGCGGTAGAAGTGACTCGATTCAGGGCACCATAGGAAACTAGCGGTAGCAGTGACTCGTGTTCAGGGCACCGTATGAACCCGGTAAAAATTTACATAAAAGGGTAATTTTTTCACTCCATTTCGTGAAATATTTGTATATTACCGGGTTTGCACGCGATCTAGGCGGCGAAATAACTTCAGCGTCTAGAGATGCGCAATAAAATTCTCCGTCGGGTGGTATTTGTTTGTTGCAGGAATTCGGCCTACAACCCGCGAAAATTTGCAAATAAGTGTAAATTTTCAACCCTTTTACGTGAAATATTTGTGTTTTTTCAGGTTTGCTCGCGATCTAGGCGGCTCACTATCTTCAGCGTGGCGTTTAGAGATGCGGTATTAAATTCTCCGTCGGGTTGTATTTGTTTGTTGCAGGAATTCGACCTGCAACCCGCGAAAATTTGCATGCAAATGTGATTTTTATCAACCTTTCTCGTGAATCGTTTGCATTTTTTCGTGTTTGCGCGGGATCTAGGCGGCTCACTAACGTCAGCGCGGCGTCTGGAGATGCGGAATTAAATTTTCCGTCGGGTTATATTTGTTTGTTGCAGGAATACGACCTGCAACCCGCGAAAATTTGAATAAAACTGCGATTTTTTCACCTTTTATCGTGAAATGTTTGTAATTTTTCGGGTTTGCACGCGATCTTGGCGGATCATTAACTTTAGCGCGGCGTCTAGAGATGCGGAATTAAATTTTCCGTCGGGTGGTATATGTTTGTTGCTGGAATTCCGCCTGCAACCCGCGAAAATTTGCATAAAATTGCGATTTTCTTACCTTTTATCGTGAAATGTTTTTTTTTTTTTCGAGTTTGCACACGATCTTGGCGTTTCATTAACTTTAGCGCGACGTCTTGAGATGCGGAATTAAATTCTCCGGCTCGTGGTATATGATTGTTGCAGGAATTCGACCTGCAACTCGCGAAAATTTGCTTAAAATTGTGATTTTTCATTGTTTTTTCGGGTTTGCGCGCTGTCTCGTCGTCTCAGTAACATAAGCGTGGCGTTAAATGATGCGGAATTAACTTCTCCGTCGGGTTGTCATTGTTTATTATAAAAGCTTAGGCAGCAGTGTGCGCATAGATACATTTTGTGTATGTGCGTGTGATCCTGTATTCTACATTTCCTTTTTTTTGCCTTCTTTGTGTTATTCATGTTGAAGTTGAATTCTTGTTTAATTGTGTATGAGACTTGTGTTGTTTTCCCTATGTACTAATGTGTCTGTTACTTCTGTTTATGTTTGCTTGCACCTTGAGTTGTGTGTTTTAAACGATTTATAATGAATATCAATATGATTATTGTAAAAAAAGAACGATTATGATGAAGAAATTGGCTGCGATTCTTGCGGCGAAAACAAAAACCCTCAATACAACTTTTACAGATATAAATTCCCATTGATTGTTTCTATGTTTCCTTCTATATACGCACTTACCGGTAGAATCCATCATGTACGCATGCGCTGCATACTTTACTTTGCTTGCGCACTCAATATTGTCATCTGTCCTTGGCTCCGGCAGTGTTAATTGTGCAGTCTTAGCGCATATCCGTGGTATTACATCTCGTGTTTTTAAAGTGCAATATTCAATTGGCAATCAACTGCAGTTAATGACAAATGAGTTACGATTAATTGTTTGAAATTTTCATAAATGCGCTAATTTATTGTCTTCTTGTAAGTTTCTTCAGGCGGATATTACAATGTGGATGCAACATTTGTTGAAGACTATTGTGATGAGAAAATTTACATAGTAAGTAATATATTATTACCATATTAAATCATATTTTTGTTATCTTTATATTTGGGTGCTATAAAGTTTTAGTTAAATTTGCGAATTAAAAATGAATTGAAGTCACAAATCACAGCGCATCTAATTTGTGTTTGTTTTTAGACGTCAAGGAGTTGAACGTGATCTCGGTGCACGAGATCGTGCAATCGTGCCCGCATTCAATTGTGAGTATTGAAATTCTTATCATTTTTATATCTGCTCCGTTCACGTAGCCTGCTATATCTTTTCCTTGTTTAGTCGATCGTGCGATGTTGTTCGGTATACACGTGTTTGGATCACAAGTCGATCTTCGTAACTAGTTTGCGCGTTTCTTGTGATTTTAAGTCGATAGTTGAATTAGAATCGATCAGCAAAGATAACATTTAGAATTAACGGGCTAGTGCGGCGTGCAGTTAATGGATTATCGCGCGTGGAAGCCAGAATTGTGCAGTTTTACATTGTGCGCACGTTTTTGCCGTCGGCCGTCGGATATCGACACGAAGAATTCTTACTGGATTTATATATTTTAGTACATTTATTAAATAATTCAAACGTGGAAATATTTTCGATTGTTTCCCGTGTGGAATGAAGTCCGTAAAATCTAATCCGTACCAGTTTGTGAAGATTAAACATTCAAGTAAGTGTAACTTGTAACTTTAGTCACTTTTGTAAGTAACGTTGAACACATGTACTTAAATTTGTGTATGTACTGTCTTGATTAAATGAGTTTGAATAAAATATAATTTAATAGTATATTTTGAAGCAGTTATCTCTCTGTGTTCCTATTGTCGTTTTCAGGATTTGATTTAAAAATTATATTTGATTACCTGTGTTTGAAATGCGTATAAGTGATGTATAAATGTTGATGTTTTTAAAAAGGTTAGGTATAGAACAACATTTATACCTGAAACGAATAGCATTTGATAAGTGAGCGTTGTGGCTCAGGTGGCATGTGCATATGCTAGCATGCTGGAGGTTCATGGATCGAATCTCAGTTGTACGAAGTAGTTTTATTAAATAATAAGAAATTTACGAAATGTGGGTTGCAGACCACCAAAATTCAAGATTCATTTGTTAGAAATATCTTGAAAAGCAGAGTACGACGAAGCAACAATAAGAATAAGTAGAAGAGATGGCGGAGGAGTAAGGAAAAAGGAGAGTAAGTAGAGAGGCAGCAGGAGAGAATAGGAGAAACAAGAAGAGAATAGAGAAGAGAGTACAGGAAGAAAAGAGAATAGGGGTGACAGAATTTTTAAATTTTTTGGCACGTGTCGTTATAAGACATCGCCCACTGCTTCGATGCGTCCATTGCTCCCGGCCCATCCTACAGCTACGATGTCTCTGCGCTTCATCCCCGGAATTATCAGGCATATCAACAATTTTTATGGTGGGGGATCATCCCCAGAGAGAGGGAACTCCTTATAAGGACAGCCTTTTAAGAACTTGTAAAAATATTTCTAATTTTTAAGTCGCCTCAAGGGAGGGGACACTTCAAAATATTCTTACAAGTTCTTACCTGTACCTGAAATGAAAGATGGAGTACACAAATCATACAGGATACCTTAACAATTTTTATAGTGGGGATCATCCCCCGAGTGGGAGAACTCCTTATAAGGACTTGTAGATATATTTCCAAGTGTCGTCTCTTTCAGAATCGACGACAAAACTAACTAAGAAATGCACTCCTGTTCTGACCTATACCTGAAATGATAGAAAGGAGAGGTGCACAAATCATATGACATTACCATTGCCTTTTACATTTCTTTATTAACAAATTAAATACAATACAACTTCAGAACTTGCAAGTTCAATATCTAGAGAACAATGACGTCATTGTAAAACATGTTTATGACCTGCATAGCCGCGCTATGCTAACTGCTGCGAAATTACAAAAGATAACACTGGAAAATAGCAAATTAGGCCCTGTTTTCGCGTGACATCAGTGGAAAATTATATACAGGGTGTATCAAAAGAAAATCTTCAATTAAAAAAGAAAATCACCCAAAACAATATAGATTGCTCATTTTTCACTGGGCATTAAAGAAAATTTATATACAAGGTGATAGAAAAAGAAAATCAAAAATACAAGTGTTATTAACTGTTTCCTCCTGGATATCTAAAAGTGATATGTGCGGGGAGAGAAACATAATAAATAATACATTTACAAATAATTATAATTTTATATGACATCTTTTAAAGCAATACTAACACAAGACGGAAAATTTAATTCCGCATCTCTAGACGCCATGCTGAAGTTACTTCGCCGTCTAGATCGCGTGCAAACCCGAAAAAACACAAACATTTCACAAAAAAAGGTTGAAAAATTACTCTTATAAGCAAATTTTCGCGGGTTGCAGGTCGAATTCCTGCAACAACTAAATACCACTCGACGGAAAATTTAATTCCGCATCTCTAGACGCCATGCTGAAGTTACTACGCCGCCTAGATCGCGTGCAAACCCAAAAAAACACAAACATTTCCCAAAAAAGGATGAAATATTACGCGTATATGCAAATCTACGTGGGTTGCAGATTTAATTCCTGCAACAATTAAATATCGCCCGACGGAGAATTTAATTACGCATCTTTAAATGTCACGATGAAATTACTACGCCGCCTAGATTGCGTGCAAACCCTAAAAGACACAAACATTTCACAAAAAATAGTTGAAAAATTACACTTATAAGCAAATTTTCGCGGGTTGCAGGTCGAATTCCTGCAACGATTAAATACCACGCGACGGAGAATTTAATTCCACATCTCTAGATGCCACGCTGAAATTACTACGCCGCCTAGATCGCGTGCAAACCCAAAAAAACACAAACATTTAACAAAAAAGGGTTGAAAAATTACTCTTATAAGCAAATTTTCGCGGGTTGCAGGTCGAATTCCTGCAACAGCTAAATACCACTCGACGGAAAATTTAATTCCGCATCTCTAGACGTCACGCTGAAATTACTACGCTGTCCAGATCGCGTGCAAACCCGAAAAAACACAAACATTTCACAAAAAAGGGTTGAAATATTACTCTTATATGCAAATTTACGCTGGTTGTAGGTCGAATTCATGCAATAATTAAATACCACTCGACGGAAAATTTAATTCCGCATCTCTAGACGTCACGCTGAAATTACTACGCCTCCTAGATCGCGTGCAAACCCGAAAAAACACAAACATTTCACAAAAAAGGGTTGAAAAATTACTCTTATATGCACATTTTCGCGGGTTGCAAGTTTGAATTCCTGCAACAATTAAATACCATCCGACGGAGAATTTAATTCCGCATCTCTAGACGTCACACTGAAATTACTACACCGCCCAGATCGCGTGCTAACCCGAAAAAACACAATCATTTCATAAAAAAAGGGTGGAAAAATGACTCTTATATGCAAATTTTTGCCGGTTGCAGGTCAAATTTCTGCAACAATTTAAAACCACGCGACGGAGAATTTAATTACGCATCTTTGGATGCCACGATGAAGTTAGTCCGCCGCCTAGATCGCGTGCAAACTCGAAAAAACACAAACATTTCACAAAAAAGGGTTGAAAAATTACTCTTATCTGCACATTTTCGAGGGTTGCAGGTCGAATTCCTGCAACAATTAAAGACCACGCGACGAAGGATTCAATTTCGCATCTCTAGACGCCACGATAAAATTACTACGTCGCCCAGATGTCGTGCAAACCCGAAATAACACAAACATTTCACAAAAAAGGGTTGAAAAATTAGACTTTTAAACAAATTTTCGCGGGTTGCAGGTCGAATTCCGGCAACAAATAAATACCATCCGAAATTTAATTTTGTATCTCTAAACGCCGCGTTGAACTTTAAAAAAATTTAAAACAGGCAACTATCCATAGGCACAATACAGGTGATCTAAACTAAACTAGAATAAACTGTACGCGGCATGAAACGTGTACGACGGAAAACACCTGCGTAATTTGCAATTCCGGGTTCCACGCGCAATATGGTAATATTGCGCTTGTTTGGTAAATCAAAATCTTATCTCAATCTGCGGCCCGTCGGCAAGTATTCCTTAGTCACGTACTGGCGAATATACTACTAAATTCGCATCCAACGGAAATAATACATTAAAATGTTGACTACCTGTGATAATACTCCGATTGGTAAAATTATTCAAGCGGTTCTATCTTCTGCGGATGACGAATATAATTCTTGGCTAATTCTTGGCCGAAATTGGCCGAAACCGAAACCGAAACCGAAATTTCGGTCGGTCTCTACTAGAAACCAACAAAAAAAAAAAGAAAACTTAATTGTCGCGTAAAATTCAATGATAAATTAATGAAAAATTAAAATTCGATTTGCGTTATTATGATTTCTTATGCGGACAGAGTGCCAGATTTTACATCAAATATTTAAGTGATATCTGCTTAAGTGATCTGCTGATGATAAAAATGTTTTGCTGATGATAATTTTATAATAAAGTATTTCACCGATTGTAAAATTGTAAGTTAGATTCATGATTCGCGAATTGAAGAATTCTTGCTTAAATTTACGATGGCAATACAAACTACAACGATGTGATATATCTACAGGTAAACAAACTTATCTCTTGTGCGAATTCACGTGGTCGCACACGGACACGGTGTGCACTCACTACCACCAACAAGCAATATTTAACGCGAAATCGTGCATCGTAGTGGCATCTAACCGACTATTACCCAAAGGGACCTCCTAAGGAAGCAGCATGGCAGCAATATGCATCTGATTGACCTAGCGAAATTTTAATTCTTAAGAAAAAAAAATGCCAAGGGGGGGTGCTTGATACTTTTTTTCGACGATTTTTGATAATTAATATCTTTTAAACTAAACGCGATAGCTACCAACGAATCGTTGATTATGAAAGATTGAAAAATTCCCTATCGGATAAAAATATAAAATAAGTATATTTCCTACAGTAAAAGGTCGAAAAACGCGACTAAAAGTGCTAAAAAGTGACATTTTTCAATTTTTGCCCATTTTATTCAAACGCGAATATCTCGTAAACTAAAAGAGATAATTAAGATCTGATGGCAGCGTCTTATTCTACGGACTATTCTCTATAAGATAGGCTAGTTAAAACGGAAATCTGGGAGATAAAATTTTAATTCCTACGAAAAAAAATGCCAAGGGGGGGTGTGCTTGATACTTTTTTTCGACGATTTTTGATAATTAATATCTCTTAAACTAAACGCGATAGCTACCAACGAATCGTTGATTATGAAAGATTGAAAAATTCTCTTTCAGATAAAAATATAAAATAATTAAATTTCCTACAGTAAAAGGTCGAAAAACGCGACTAAAAGTGCTAAAAAGTGACATTTTTCAATTTTTGCCCATTTTATTCAAACGCGAATATCTCGTAAACTAAAAGAGATAATTAAGATCTGATCGCAGCGTCTTATTCTACGGACTATTCTCTATAAGATAGGCTAGTTAAAACGGAAATCTGGGAGATAAAATTTTAATTCCTACGAAAAAAAATGCCAAGGGGGGGTGCTTGATACTTTTTTTCGACGATTTTTGATAATTAATATCTTTTAAACTAAACGCGATAGCTACCAACGAATCGTTGATTATGAAAGATTGAAAAATTCTCTATCAGATAAAAATATAAAATAATTAAATTTCCTACAGTAAAAGGTCGAAAAACGCGACTGAAAGTGCTAAAAAGTGACATTTTTCAATTTTTGCCCATTTTATTCAAACGCGAATATCTCGTAAACTAAAAGAGATAATTAAGATCTGATCGC